GATCCGAAGGTGCATCGGGCTCGGTCGCAGCGGCCGCGGAGCCCCTCACCGCAAGCGCAGCGCTGCTCCCCAGCCAAGCCAGCGGCGCGCAGGGCGCTGCCGACGACGGCGACGGACGAGCTGCTGGCGCCGCGTGAGCCACAACTGGCAGTGGCAATGCGGCCTCGGCGCCTCGCGCGCAACCGGTGGCGCAGCCGCCACCGCTGCCGCCATCCGCGCTGCCTCCATGGCGGGGGCTCGACGCGCACGACACCCACGAGTCGTGGCGAGGAGGCACCCACCTTTTCTGCGTCAAGTGCGGCCACTGGACGCAGAGTCGCAGGTTGGCGGGCCTCGCGCAGGAGTGCCCGAAGGTCCCCAGAACGACGGGCAGAAGGCGGCGTTCGGCCGCCTCAAGCGTGGGCTGCAGCCAAAGGGGCAGGGAAGCATCGGTGACCCTGAGCCCTTTTACGGTGAAGGCGCAGGCGCATAGACGGCTAAGCATTCTCGGCATTCCGGGCACGAACCACGCGCGCAGGTTTGCTCACGCACGGGATCGGGCCAGAGGCCGATGGCTTTGCAACAGTCCAAGTGAAGCCAGGGCCTAAGGGACAGGCTGCGCCGCTTTCGGTTAGGTCGCAGCGACGCTTCCTGCAGCCGCGTTCGCCTGCCACGCGCGCGCATGGCCCTGTCTCGGTGCATGCGATTCGGCTGACGCAGTTCGTTGCGGACACTGAACCAGGTGTGTAAGTTCGCCGACACACGGGATCGGGCTCCGATGCCATCCTTTTTCTTCGGCGTGCGCCTCTCTCGCCATTAAGTCCGCTATTGTAGCAAGTTCGGTGCTAGTGCATGGCCTGTCACGATGGGCGGAAGCTGAACCAGGTGCGTAGACCCACTTACACATGGGATCGGGCTCCGTTGCCAGCGGCACTGCCACAGTCTTGTTTAGGTCTCTGGCCCCAGGGAAGTGTTGCGATGCCGTTGGTAAGGCGTGTCGCGGAGCGTCGTCTGACGCGCGCCCCTGCGCCCGCTCGCCCATCTGTCTGGCGCGGAGCGCCCTTCCATATAAAGCGGCACGTCCTGTGCCCTGGTTGTCCCGCAGCCTCTGGCTGCTCTCGCGCTTGCAATCCCCAGCGGATACTGACCCAGGTGCGTAGGTTCGCCCACGCATGGGATCGGGCTCCGACGCCTTATGCCCTCGGCAATGCAACGAAGTCCAGCTGTGGCCAGGTGCCAAGGGACCCGTTGCGATGCTGAGGGTCGGCATTCGCCACGCTGCACGGCGCGCCTGTGCATAGCCGCGGCCGCTTCGGCCTGCGAGGGCTCAGCTGTTGAGCGGAAATCAAACCGGGTGCGTAGGCTTGCCGACACACGGGATCGGGCTCCGTTGCTAGCGGCACTGAAACACCCTGTTTAGGCTAAGCCTCAGGGAAGCGTTGTGATGCTGATGGCGAGGTGCTGTCCTAAGCGCGTCGCGTTCGACGCGCGTCTTGCCTTGCTTGCCATCTGCTCGGCGCGGAGCGCCCTCCATATCACGGAGAATGACACAGAAGTGAAGGTTTGCCCTCACTCGGGATCGGGCTCCGACCCCATCGGCAATGCAACCAGACCAGCTTGAGGCCAGGAGCCTGTTGGCGGGTTGCGCTGCTGATGGAGAAGTATAGTCGAGCGCTCGCCTTTTTTCGGCGTGCTTGCACGCTTCCGCTCGATGTAGCTGCTGGTGCGCTCTCGCGACAGCATGCCCTGCCCGTCGTTCCGGCGTGGAGGGCGGCCCGAAAGCGTAGGCCCGCCCACGCTCTGGCTCGATCTCCGCAGGCCCGAGGAGCAACCGCGTCGGGGAGGCCTGGGGCCACGGACCTAGTTGCTTCTCAGGCGCGCTGCGCAGCAAAGCTGAGTACGAGCCCGCTGGATCGGCAGCCGTAGCTCTGTGCTAGCTGCCGAGCGTGCTGAGTCGCTTCGACTGCTGGGATCACTCGACCGCTTGCCTCGGCTGAGGCGGACGATTGTTCTCGGCACTCAGGCGAATCTGCGCGTGCACGCCGAGGCGCACGAGACAGGGCGTTGCCTCAGCAGGGCCAAAGGGTAACGCCTCGGTCCGAGGGGCAGTACGAGCTAGGAGCTCCTGACATCTTCAGCCGCGGGGATCATCATCATCATCATCACCATCATCAGCACCAGCATCATCATCATCACCACCACCATCATCATCATCATCATCATCATCATCATCATCATCATCATCACAACCACCATCAGCATCATCATCATCATCATCATCATCATCATCATCATCATCATCATCATCATCATCATCATCATCATCATCATCATCTTCACCACCATCCTCATCATCACTATCGCCATCACCATCACCATCATCCTCATCAGCATCATCACCATCACCACCACCATCGCCATCACCATCACAGTCATTATCAGCATCACCATCACAAGCACCATCACCATCATCATCGTCATCATCATCATCATCATCATCATCATCATCATCACCATCACCATCATCATCACCATCATCACCAGCATAAGCGTCAGCATCAGCACCAGCATCCTCATCATTACCATCATCATCATCATTATTACCACCACAACCATCATCACCATCACCACCATCACCATATCACCAGCATCAGCACCATCACCATCATCACCACCACCACCATCATCAGCATCATCTTCATCAGCAGCATCCCCATCATCATCACATTCACCATCATCACCACCATCACCATCACTATCACCGCCATCACCATCACCATCAGCAACATCATCATCATCACCACCATCACCATTGCCATCAGCATCATCATCATCGTCATGATGATCATCATCACCATAATCCTCGTCATCGGCAGCAGCATCATCATCAGCAGCATCAGCATCATCATCCACATCATCATCATAATCAGCATCATCATCATCACCACCACCACAATCGTCATCATCATCACAATCCTCATCGTCATCATCACTATTCTCAGCATCATCGTCATCAGCATCATCATCATCAATATCAGCATCATCATCATCACCATTATCACAATCACCACAACTATCACCATCAGCAGCATCCTCCTCATCATCAGCATCATCATCATCAGCCGCATCAGCATCATCATCCGCATCATCATCACCAACACCATCACCATCATGGGCACCATCACCACCATCATCATCATCATCATCATCATCATCATCATCATCATCATCATCATCACCATGACCATCACCCTCACCATCCCCGTCACCATCATCATCATCACCACCACCACCACCATCACCATCATCATCACCACCACCACCACCATCCTCACAATCGCCATCATAATCACCAGCATCATCATCATCAGCATCATCAGCATCTTCATCACCATCATCATCATCATCATCATCATCATCATCATCATCATCATCATCATCATCATCATCACCTCCACCATCACCATCATCAGCTCAATCAGAGTCTGCCCCAGCCGCCTCCACTCCTCCTCCTCCTCCTCCTCCTCCTCCTCCTCCTCCTTCTCATTCTTCCGCCGTTCTCCCTACTCCTCCTCCTCCTCCTCCTCCTCCTCCTCCTGTTTCTTCCTCATCCTCCTCGTCGTCGTCATCGCCGCCATCATCATCATTATCATCAGCATCATCAGCATCATCAGCATCATCATCATCGTCATCATCATCATCACCAGCATCAGCATTCAGCGTCAGCATCATCATCACCATCATCATCGTCATCATCATCATCATCATCATCACCATCATCATCATCATCATCATCATCATCATCATCATCATCATCATCATCATCATCATCATCATCGTCGTCATCATCATCATCATCATCATTATCATCATCATCAACATCACCACCACCACCATCACCATCGTCATAATCATCACCACCATCTTTATTACCACCATCACCATCATCACCAGCATCATCACCTTCACCATCATCATCACAGTCACCATCATCATCATCATCATCATCATCATCATCATCATAATCATCATCATCATCATCATCATCATCATCATCATCAGTATCAGCATCAACATCAGCATCACCGTCACCATCCCCATCACCATCACCATCACCATCATCATCATCATCATCATCATCACCACCACCATCACCATCATCATTACCACCACCACCACAATCATCACCATCACCATCATCATAATCAGCATCATCATCACCATCAGAATCATCACCACCACCACCATCACCATCATCATCATTATCAGCAACACCACCACCAGCAGCATCACCACAATCATCATTATCACCATCACCTTGTCATCATCATCCACTATCATCATCATCATCATCACCACTATCATCATCATCATCACCAGCATCACCACATTCACCATTACCATCACCATCACCACCACCATCACCATATTCGTCACCATCATCATCATCATTATCAGCATCACCACCACCAGCAGCATCACCACAATCATCATTATCACCATCACCTTGTCGTCATCATCATCATCATCATCATCATCATCATCATCATCACCATCACCATCATCATCATCATCATCATCATCATCATCATCATCATCACCATCACCATCATCATCATCATCACCATCATCACCATCACCATCATCATCATCATCATCATCATCATCAGCAGCAGCAGCATCATCATCACCGACACCACAACCATCGTCACCGTCATCATCATCACCACCCCACCACCATCATCATGATCAGCATCAGCATCAGCATCACAATCATCATCATCATCAGCAGCATCATAATCAGCATCATCGTCATCATTGTCATCACCGTCATCATCATCACCACCACCATCGCCATCATCAGCGTCAGCATCGTCATCATGATCATCACCACAACCACCACCACCACCACCACCACCATCATCATCATCATCATCATCATCATCATCATCGTCATCATCGATATCCCCCCTCCCTCCCGCCCCCTCTCCCTCCCACCGTCCTCGCGGCGACACCCCCGCCTGGCGACCAGCAGCTCAACGGTCGCGGCGACCAGCGTCTCCTCGTCGACGCCGGGCGACTGCTCCCGCACCTCCGAGGCGAAGGCGCAGAAGGATCGAGGAAGAGGAGAAGGAGAATCGAGGAGGAGGAGGAAGAGGAGGTGGAAGACGAGGACGAGGATCGAGCGTCGAGCGTCGAGCAAAGATCACAAAGGCTTTCGAGCGTTTTCTAAGTTTCCCTACCCTGGGAGGCTTCCCAGCAGACCTGCGCCTCGCCGGGAGCTTTCCCGGGATGCCCGGAGCGTCCTGGAAGGCCGCCGGAGAGCCGAGCTGTGACCCAGAAGCCAAGCGGGGCGGGAGGCCCCCACCTCCTGTCGTCGCGAAAAAGTCACGACGGGAGACTCCAGCTATGCTCGGCCTCCCGGGGGCCCTCACGGGGCCCCCGGATTGTCAAAGGAAACGCGGGATGAAAAAACTGGTCGTTGGGACAGGGTCTGGACTCCTGGGGGTCGACGCTATTTTATATATATATATATATATATATATATATATATATATACATATATATATATATATAAAAAAAAAAAAAAAAAAAAAAAAAAAAAAAAAAAAAATGCGTCGGGGATCTGGGAAAATGAGGGGGATTGGCGGAGAGCCCGGGGGGGAAGTGAGAAGGGGCAAGCCTTCTCAGAAGGCTCGGAGGTCCCCCGGCCTTCTGAGAGACGTCCGAAACCTTCCCCGACAGCGGAAAACTTCTCAGAAGGCGCGAGGGTTTCTGAGAAGCCCCGTTACCTTCTGAGAAGACCTTTTCCTTTTCGTGTCCCCCCTCGCTCGCCGCTGGGATCTGGAACCGCTCCCGGCCCCAGCCCTGGCCCGACTCCCAACCCCGGCCCTGGCCCAGGCCCCGGTCCGCGCTGCTGGCCCCCCCTGTACCGCCCAGGCCCCAGCCCCAGACCCAGGCCCGGCCTCGGTCCCCGCCTTGGCCCCGGCCCCAGCCCCAGTTCCCCTGGCTCTGGCTCCCGACCCGCTCCGGCCCCGGCCCTGGCCCAGGTCCCCGCCCCAGCGCCCTCCAAATCTACTCCGTTGCCTCCCAGATGCCCGAGATACCGAACCTAGCTTCAAAACAGCGAACGAAGCCTGGAAATCGCCCCAGGAGGGCTCCAAGACGCCCCGAATGATCCTGATAGTCAACTGGCGTCGTCGCCAACATCGTCAACATCCTCGCCATTACCTCCCTCCTTCTCCTCCTCATGATTGCCACGCTCTACTCGCCCCTGCCCTCCTTCGTGCCCCCCCCCCGTCCACCTGTACATGCGACCCTGCTCGCCTCACTCTCCTACTATTCATTCCCCCCCTGTGCTCCTACTCCTCCTCATCCACCTCTTCCTCCTGTCCCCCTCCTTATTTTCCTCCCCATGCCCTCCTCCCCAACCTCAGGGTCGGCGGCACCGGCCGTAAGTCCTTCGCAATCGACGCTAGATCGACGCCATTCGCCGCTAGATCGGCGCTACCTCGTCGATGACCAGACGCTGGCGCACGGCACTTTTGAAGACGGAATTGCGAGGACACACGAGGCCCCCATGACTTGTAACAGAAGGAGCCTAGGAGAAGGAGGAGAAGGATGAGGAGAAGGAGGGGGAGGAGGAGGGGGACGAGGAGGAGGAGGAGGAACCGACGTTGGAATAAACCCTTCCTCCAAGCTCCCTGTTCACATGCCCCTACAACGGTTCGTTTCCATTGACGGAATTGCCTCGTTGGATGACAACCGTTTGATGGCCCTGAAGCATGCCAAAACATTGCGAATGATATTCCAACGCCACGGATCTACTTACTTGTTGCGTCTTGACGATCCTGAGCCGTACCAGAACGCAATTCCTGGAATTTCCACACCGCGAATTTACGTAACTGCTGCACCCGCATAACCCAGAATCCTTCCAAAACACTATTTCTGGTACGTTGAACCTGGGAATCCGTGAAATTGTTTCAAATTGCATGATCGAATGTGCGCGGCGATGAGGCGAGAGCCACATTTTGAAAAGGAACCGCCATCAACATGTGAAACTCTTGCAATTATTTAAAACAAATTTGCGCAGCGCTAAGGCGAGGGACACAGATTGAAAACAACCCGCCCTCAACCCGTGAAAACTCTTAAACTAATTTAAAACGAATGTGCGCGGCGCAAAGGCGAGAGACACATTTTGAAAACGAACCACCCTCAATACATGAAACTCTTGCAACTGTTTAGAACATATGTGCGCGGCGCTAAGGCGAGAGCCACATGTTGAAAACGACCCGCCCTCCATGTGAAACTCTTGCAGAGTTTTACAACGAATGTGCGCGGCGCTAAGGCGAGAGCCACATTTGGCAAACGACCCAACCTCCATCTGTGACGCTCTTGCCAGTTCTTAAACTTCAGACCCTTGGGGTCATCGGCGTGTGAGATGCTTCCCCCTCCCCAAACCACTCCCCCCGGAGCCCGGTCCGGTCGGTTTCGAAGGGGGGGTCCGGCCGGCCCCAGCTGAACGCGTCACGGGCCTCACGACGGGCCATGAGGGTCCCATGAGGCCCACAAGATGGTCCAAGAGGGCCTCGAGTCACCGATGGATCGTTCAAAGACGCCCAAGATGGCCCCCAGACGGCCCAAGGCCCCCGAGACGCCCCAAGAGGCCCCCGAAAGCCGTCCCAAGAGGGCCCTCAAAGCAAGAATCGGAAACGTATGATTTTAGTACATTCGCCTCTTGGGCTTTCACAACGTCCAAGACGACCCAAGAGGCCTCCAAGATCGCCCCCAAGACGGCCCAGGAAGCCCCCAAGAAGGCTACAGACGGCCCAAAAGGGCCCCAAGACGGCCCAAGAGGCCCTCAAGACGGCTCCAGGCGGGGGACCCGAACTGAAATTTCGAGCCCTCGGCCCCGAGAAGCCTCCAGGAGACCCCAAGAGGCCCCCAAGAAGCCCCCCAGAGGCTCCAAGAGGCCCACCAGAGGCCCCAAAGAGGTCCCAAGAGGCCCCAAAACAGCTCCCAAAAGGCCTCAAAAGTGCTGCCAGGAGGCCCCCGAGAGACCTACCAGGAGCCCCCCAAGGGGTCGACGGTGCGGCGTAAGCCCAACCCCCAAGGGGTCGACGGTGCGGCGTAAGCCCAAGAATCATAAACGGTGGGAAAGTCTCAGGCGAAACGCCCGGCCAGCCTTAAAAACTCGCTCGGGGTGCGACAGGGACAAGGTAGTTATACAAGGAAAAAGAATGGAGCAGGGGGAACAGGAGGTGGGGGAGGAGGAGGAGGAGGAGGAGGACGAGGAGGAGGAGGAGGAGGACGAGGAGGAGGAGGACGAGGAGGACGAGGAGGAGGAGGAGGACGAGGAGGAGGAGGAGGACGAGGAGGAGGAGGAGGAAGAAGAGGAGGAGGAGGACGAGGAGGAGGAGGAGGAACTGGCGTCGGCTCGGACCGATCGGATCGACCTGGCCCCCCCCCAGGCGGGGGGCGGCGGGCGCCTCCGCCCAAAATCGTGCTGCGGGCCCCTGCCCAAGGTCTGCCCGGGCAAATTCTTCGAGCCGCGCCCAGCCGTGGCGTCAGGTCGGGCATGTCCTCCCACAGGCGGATTGCGGAAGATCAGCGAACAACAGGGAAAAAAACTTTAAAACTTATCCCGGCAAAGCAACCTAACAGCGATGTGTAGGAGCATGTCTGGAAGCATTCCCCTTCAGATTCAGATGAGAAGCCAATTGTAGAATTCTGCTGTTCTCGCAGTCGTAGTCGCATTCGCTATGACAGTCGCAGTGGCAACAGCAGTCGCAGTCACAGCCTCAGCCTCAGCCTGCCTCAGCCTCAGTCTGCCTCAGCCTCAGCCTCAGCCTGCTTCAGCCTCAGCATCAGTCTGCCTTCAGCCTCGGCCTCAGCCTCCGCCTGCCTCAGCCTCACCCTGCATGAGCCTCAGCCTCAGCCTCAGCCTGCCTCAGCATCAGCCTGCCTCAGCCTCAGCCTCAGCCTGCCTCAGCCTCAGCCTCAGCGTGCTTCAGCCTCAGCCTCAGTCTGCCGTCGGCCTCGGCCTCAGCCTCAGCTGCCTCAGCCTCAGCCTGCAACAGCCTCAGCCTCAGCCTCAGCCTGCCTCAGCCTCAGCCTCAGTCTGCCGTGGGCCTCGGCCTCAGCCTCAGGCCCTCAGCCTCAGCCTGCATCAGCCTCAGCCTCAGCCTCAGCATCAGCCTGCCTCAGCCTGCCTCAGCCTCAGCCTCAGCCTGCTTCAGCCTCAGCCTCAGTCTGCCTTCAGCCTCGGCCTCAGCCTCAGCCTGCCTGCCTCAGCCTCAGCCTCCTCAGCCTCAGCCTGCCTCAGCATCAGCCTGCCTCAGCCTCAGCCTCAGCCTGCCTCAGCCTCAGCCTCAGCCTGCTTCAGCCTCAGCCTCAGTCTGCCTTCAGCCTCGGCCTCAGCCCTCAGCCTCAGCCTCAGCCTCAGCCTCAGCCTCAGCCTCAGCCTCAGCCTCAGCCTCAGCCTGCCTCAGCCTCAGCCTCAGCCTGCCTCAGCCAGCCTCAGCCTGCCTCAGCCTCAGCCTCAGCCTCAGCCTCAGCCTCAGCCTCAGTCTGCCTTCAGCCTCGGCCTCAGCCTCAGCCTGCCTCAGCCTCAGCCTGCATCAGCCTCAGCCTCAGCCTCAGCCTGCCTCAGCATCAGCCTGCCTCAGCCTCAGCCTCAGCCTGCCTCAGCCTCAGCCTCAGCCTGCTTCAGCCTCAGCCTCAGTCTGCCTTCAGCCTCAGCCTGCCTCAGCCTCAGCCTGCCTCAGCAGCATCAGCCTCAGCCTCAGCCTAGCCTGCCTCAGCATCAGCCTGCCTCAGCCTCAGCCTCAGCCTGCCTCAGCCTCAGCCTGCTTCAGCCTCAGCCTCAGTCTGCCTTCAGCCTCGGCCTCAGCCTCAGCCTGCCTCAGCCTCAGCCTGCATCAGCCTCAGCCTCAGCCTCAGCCTGCCTCAGCATCAGCCTGCCTCAGCCTCAGCCTCAGCCTGCCTCAGCCTCAGCCTCAGTTTCAGTCTGCCTTCAGCCTCGGCCTCAGCCTCAGCCTGCCCCAGCCTCAGCATCAGCCTGCCTCAGCATTCAAAATGTGGCCCAGGAATGGAGTTCTGGGAACTCGAAGAACACGAAGTGGCCTACAGCTGGCTCCGGGCATTCAAAATCATGCCCAGGAATGGTGTTCTGGGAACACGAAGAACACGAAGTGGCCTACAGTTGGCTCCGGGCATTCAAAATGTGACCCGGGAATGGTGTTCTGGGGACACGAAGAACACGAAATGGCCTACAGTTGGCTCTGGGCATTCAAAATGTGGCCCGGGAATGGTGTTCTGGGAACACGAAGAACACGAAGTGGCCTGCAGTTGGCTCCGGGCATTCAAAATCATGCCCAGGAATGGAGTTCTGGGAACTTGAAGACCACGAAGTGCGTTACGGTTTGCTTAAAACGATTTCCCCGGCATCCCCCCGGATCGCGCCCAGACCCCCCTGGGGCGTCATGCTGCTCTCTTTTGACCCTACTAGAAACCTATCAGAAACTAGAAAGCAAGCACTACAGAACAATCGTCTCCAGACTATTTTGGACTAGTTAAGAACATTCCTAACAGTAGCGGCGAAGAACGCCCGAGGCCCAGAACGGCTCGAACCGCAACCCTCGAACCTCGACACCCCTGAGCCTGTACCCCCTGAGCCTGTCCCCGAGTGTGACCGAAACCGGCGCCCGAATCTTCCGAGCGCGCCAAGGCGTGACCGAAGCTCTCGCTTCGAGGGCCGAAACGATGCTCCACCTCGGGCACAGGCTCAATCGCACTGCGCTCTCGGTCACGGCTTCGGGGACACCTGGTCGGCCACCGATCTCTCCCCTCGGTCGCACACCTTCCAGGCGGACGGGCGGCCGGGCGCGCCACGAGGGCCCGCAGCCCTGGCGGAGGGCGGCGGGCGCCTCCGCCAGCGCCGCCAGCACCCCGGCGTCCGGCACGGCCAGCCCCGCGGGCAGGACCTCGCCGACGCGGCGCACGTCCTCGCGGCTCGCCTCGGCGCGGCCGCGGACCTCTGCCGGGGGGGGGGGCGGGGCGGGCGCGGCGCGGCGGGGCGCACGCCCCGGGCGCCCCCTCCGCGGCGCGGCCCCGGCGGCGCTGCTCCCAGCGGGCAGCTTCGCCCGGCGACAGGGCCCCGGGATGCTCGCAGCTCGATGCAGCGCGAAGGATGGGGCAGAGAAGGGCAAGGTCTGGCGCTCCGGTCGGGAGGTTCCGCGATGCTGCACCTTTCTCGAGGCGTCGGATCTGAGGGGCCGCGCGGCGCGGTTGGGCGCACGCCCCAGCGGCCCTTCCGAGGGGCGGGGGCGCCCGGAGGCAGCTCCTGGGAGGTCTTCGTCAGAACGGTCTGAGCATCGTTTCACCGATGCCTATCCCCACCGGTGTGGCGTGGACCCCACTGGCCGATTTCCCTCCCTAGGTGGGGGGATATAGGCCGTTCCCTTCGAATTTCGAGTGGGGTATCCCCAACTGGGGTGGTGAGAACGGTATAATGACGATCAGGGGCTGCTACTGGATTCGCAGCGAGGGAGTGCTACGGGGAGACACGGACACGGACACGGACACGGCGCCTACTCGTCCCACGGGACGGCCCTACGAGGAGCTAGGCGGCGGCGCCTCGGCGCCAACAGGAAGATCCAAATGCAAGATTGGTCGGGCAACGAAGCGAGGAAGAGCTGGCCGGCCGATTCACTTGATCAGATGGTCCTGTCCATGCCTGCGTACGTACGTCCGTACTGCGGGGAGACGGGGGCCAGAAGCGGATGCCAGGGTGGGTTATGCCCGGCCTGCCCACCTCTCGGCCCGCCTCCGCGCAGCCGCGCGGGAGGGGGGGCGGCGCGGCGCGGCTGGGCGCACGCCCTGGCAGCCCCTCCGCGGGGCGAGGGCGCGTCGTGCGGCCCAGGCAGGCACGGGCGAGTCGGCACAAGTTCCAGGATTCTCCCGCTTCCCGTATCTCCCAGAGGTTCCTCGTCCCCTCCATTCCCCACGCTTCCATAAAAAAACGGCGTCAACATGTGTGTTGTGCCTGTGTTTCCCTCCTGGCCGTGAGGAGGCAACTCCTGGGAGGTCTGGGTCAGAACAACTAAGAGCTGTTAAGCTCGATTATTTGAATCGGCGCGGGCGGGTGCTGAGAGGACACGTGGCGACAAGTGGATGTTAAGGTGGGCTACATCTGGCCTGATGGCCCTAGTTCGTCAGCAGGTTACAAATTCCCTAACGGGCTCAGGGTGACTAGAAAACTCCGCCAAGTGGGCTCCGCCCGCGTAGCACGGATCTGTACGGCCCTGAGGCTAGTGAGGGCCTCCGCAACCCGCTCATAAGATAGGCTAGGCCGAATATAACCCACTTGAGCATCCGTTTCTGACCGAAAACCTGGCCGTCTGCGGATAGAGCCCTACGCGCCGCCACGCTGGTCCCGGGCAGGCTGTGCTGCCCAGCGGAGGGGAGAGAGGAGGGGAGCAGCAAGCAGGCAACGACGAACGCGCAGGCGAGAGGCAGGGGCCAGCCGGGCGGGCGGGCAGGCGGAAGAGGGGACCGGGCTGAGACAGCAGGCAGGAAGCAGGAGGAAAGAAAGGGAGGCAAGGACGAGCAGAGGGGAAGCAACCGCAAGCAGACAGGCGTAGCCCCCAGCAACCGTAGCAACCCCAGCGGCGATACAAATAAGGGGCCGTTAGGTCGGAGTGGCCCACATTAGGCCCTGGATCAAACCGGGTTAAGTCCGATTAAGCGGGATGAAGCTGGAGTAAGCGAGTAAGCGGGATTGTGCCCAGATTGGGCCAGCTGTTGACCACGGATATACCAGCGCTGATCCTGAATTGAACCTCCCAGGAGTTGCACACCCTAAAGGACGCCTCTCACTGCGAGACAGAAGCCACCGATGGTTCTGGTCCACTCCCAGCCTCCAAAGGCCCCTCGCTGCGCCCCGCTGCCGTCAAAACCCGACCAAGGATGGAAAGCTGGTCCCCGTGAAGGGGTCCCTAGGAGCCTCCTGGATGGGGTCGGAACAGACGGGATCGGCGGATCGCGCCGCATCGCCCATGCACCAGCGATGCATCGGCGATGCATCGTCGGCGATGCACCGGCGACGTCGGCGTGGAGAAGATCCGGCTCCACATCGAGCCGCATCGCCGATGCATCGGCGATGCGGCGCGATCCTCCGACTCCATCTACTCCAACCCCATCTGGGAGGCCCAGATCGGCGACTCCGAAGGGTCAGGTCTGCAAAGGGTGTGGTCTGCAACGGGCACCCCGGGGGGGGACCCTGGGGAGCGGGCGGGGTCCTCGATGGAGTTCTCCGCCGCGCCCCGAGGATGCCAAACGAGGACAGCGTCGTGCCGCCCAGGCCCCAACGGCGCCGATCGCAAACCACACCCCAGCGTAGTTATCCTCACCATTTGTAGTCGCCGACCTGAGATCTGGGCATCTGCAACTTCTAGGTGGCGGCATCCGAGCCCTACCCCCCACCAACCATCGATTCTCCTGAATCGATGGGAGACTGGAGCAGGCTTCGGACTCCGCCACGTGTTCGACGAATTCCAGGTCCTGACCCCGCCGCCCCTCGAGTTGCCTGAATCGTTGATCGGCGAGGGTAGGTTTCAGATTTCGACGCCGATTTGCTCCGCGCCGGGCTTCTCGCCCGGTTCCCAGCCTCGGGGCCCGATCCAGCTCGAAGAGCACCACAGAAAGGTGGGGTCTGGGTCTCCTGGCCTTCTCACCGTGTTGCGGGGGTGCTCCTCCGCCCTCCTCCGCCCTTCCCGACAGCCTCCTCGCTACGACGGCGGCGGCGACGGCGGCGGCGGCACAAAATCCGTCTAGAACGGATGGATCCACGGGCCCCACGGGGGGGCCCTCCTGGCTGCCTGCTTGCCGCCGGCTCCGCTGCCCCGGCGGCCCCACGGGCCCCGAGGGGGGGGGGGGGGCCCGGAGGCCGACGTACGAGGAAGGGCGTTCGCTCTTCGACCCAGGCCGGCGGCGGGGCGGGCGGGCGGGCCTCCCGGAGCGAGAGGAACCTCGCCGGCTGGCTGGGCTCCTGCGCCGCCCAGGGCGGCGCCGCCAGGAGAGGAGGGCGGCGGCCGCGGAGGGGGCAGCAGAGCGAGAGGGGGGCGGCAGCAGCGGGAGGGCCCGAGGCCTGGGCGGCCCCCCCCATGGGCTCCCGGCGGCGCGCCTCGCCTCGGGACCCCAGAAACGTGTGGTGGCGCACCGCGCGGCGACCTTGGAATCCCCAGCGACCTCACCGCGCGGGACCCTGGAGGCCCCAGTCGCCCGAGGCGTCCTCAGAGAACGACCCGGGTCCAGAAAACGAGCGGCGACCCCAAACCCCCACGCGGCGGCGAGCGAGGGGGGGAAGCGAGAAGGAGAAGGCCTCCTCAGAAGGCGGCGGGACTTCTCGGGAGCCCTCGAACCTTCTGGGAAGCTTTCTCTGCATCTTCGGGAAAGGCTTCGAAAACTTCTCAGAAGGTCGGGTGACTTCCGAGCCCTCTGAGATGGCCTTCTCCTTCTCATTGCCCCCATCGCTCGCCGCCGACCCACTGGCTCGCCACGAGGGAAGGAGCCTGACGGCCGCGAGCGCTGGGCACGGGGAGCAGAGGGGGGGAAGGCGGCAGAAAGAGCGGAGGGCGCGAGGACGCCCCTCCAGCTGGAGGGCCTCGACTCCTGCCGCGGGGCTGAGCGCAGCGTGGCGCGCGAACTCGCTGGACTCTCCCTCCCGTTCACCCTCTTGGCACCTGACCGGCAGCCCCACCCCCGGCAGAAAGAATTCCGCCGGGGAGGGCGGTCGGCGTCCCAGGCCACCTGTGTGACGGCAGTGTCGCACGGGAGCGCGCGTCGGATCGGGCCGCATCGAGGCGGGGCCACAATCGGATTGCACCCGCCGAGTCAGGAGGCACAGCGCCCACGTGGGAGCATCGCGCCGCATGGGATCGACGGAACATCGGAATCGAGTCGGGTCGAGCCGGCCAGGATCGATGTCGAATGAGATCGATCGGATCGAAATGGGCCCCGTCGCGGGGAGTCTGAAGGGCCCAGACCTACAACGAAAGAACTAATGAATCAGCGGTCGCACAAATGCGGCCCCAGAGGGGCGGGAGGCGCGCCAGGCGTGCTGGCCTCCAGGAAGGCCCGAGCTGCAGGGCAGCGAGACCTCCAGCGAATTGAATTCGCCGGCCCAACGGGCCAGAGGCATGCTGAGATCTCCAGCAGCAGGTTCAGAATGTTCCTGCAATTCGCGCGCGCGCGTGGTGGCCCCTGTGGGCCCCGGGTCGAGACATACCCCGGGACACTCCCGGCCGCTGCCGGTCGAGGATGCCGGAACTTCTGGGGCAGGCCTTCAAGGCTCTCAGGATCGCCCCAAGAGCGCCCCGAGGGACCAGGGGTGCCCCAAAACGGGCCAAGAGGGGCCTCCAAGTCGATCCAAGAAGGGTCCGAGGCGTATGAAGATCGTTCCAAAACGCCCAAGATAGCCTCCAGACAAGACGCCCCGCGAGGCCTTCAAGAGCACCCCCACAAGGGCCCAAATAAGTACAAATTATTGATGTTACATTGGTTTTTGAAGGATGTTGGCGCTCTCGCCTTTTCGTTTTCCCGATGCTCCGAGACGGCCCGAGGCCCCCAAGATCGCCCCAAGACGGCCCAAGAGGCAGGCCTCCACGAGCCCGAAGAGGCCCTCCAAGGACTGCCAAAAGGTCCCCAGGAAGGCTACAACGCCTTACCCGTGCAGTTCTTCATCGACCAGTACGTCGTCGTCCTCCTCCTCATCATCACCACCACCATACTCATCCAGGCGGTACCGCATACGCGTTGCAAAATTCCCTAATAGACCACCTGACAAGAGTTGTCTTCCTCATCCTCCTTTCCTCTCGTTTTCCTTTTCCTCCTCAGGCTGCGCCCTTACCCACCTGGAAGGCTCAGAAAAGGAGCCCGGAACGCCCGTCTTCGGCTCGCCCAGGATCTATACCACTGACCAACCTATCGGCGAGTCCAGGACAAAAAACATGCCCTCCTAACCTGAGGCCCCGCAAGGCCTCACCCGTGGACTTCACAGTCCAATACCTCGCCTGCGCCTGCATCATCACAACCACCGTCCTCCTGAAGGGGGCGCAATGGCGCAAGCCTCTGGAAGGATAACTGTCGATCGGGTGATACCGAACCGTGGTTCGGGCGTTGCTTGATGGGGGGCGGGGAAAAATGCACCTTTCGGGGCCCTTGTTGGAAGCCCCAGGGAGCCCATTCCGGGCTCGCTCCTTTAAGTCACCAAAAATGCACCTTCATTCGCCCCCCCATCTTATCGCGCCCCCTCTCCGGGAACATGCGAGACTCGGGCTCTGGGGACTCGAGCTGGCCCGGCAAAGCCGTTTTCCAAAATGACGAGGCCCAGCCTGAAATTTGACACGATCTCCCGCTGCAGACCTCCCCCGAAAACTGGACTTTCAAAAGTCAGAGACGGGCCCGTCAAAAAACGTCGGCAAACGCAATTCCCGGCGAACTCGAGTCTTCCGTTCCCCCCACCATTGCGCGACGCCCAGATGGTCGTCGCCTGGGGGCTGCTGGCAGACCTAGGGGCACCCTGGGCGCCCGAGGCGCGTCGGAATGCAACCTGGGAAAGGGGTTGCCGCGCTGGCGCGAGCTGCCCCAATTATGCATTCCTTTCGGCGGCAACCGCTTCAGCCCTTTCCTCGCGCATCTCCTGGATCTTCACCCTGCGTTCAGCACGCATCCTGGCATTATCCTCTTCAGGCTCCATCGCCTGCTCGAGCTTCTCCTTGAGTTTCTCATTTTCGGCCCTCGCGGCGTCTTCAAACTCAAGTAGCCTCTTCGAATCGACGCTCTCGGTCCAACGGCCATCACTCCCCGAGGCACGGCCCCGGGCGCGATTGGGCCGAAGCGAGCGGCCACGAGAGGCCGCCTCCGGCATAGACGCAACGGCGCTTTGTTGCTGAAGTCTCTTCCATGCCTGACGTTCCTGACTTTCTGTCTCCTGAACGATTTCCTCGTCTTCGTTATTCTTAGCCGATGAGATGAGTCCTTTCCGTAGCAGCGCACGAGCATCTGGCCATCCAATACGAAATGGTTGTCACACACGCCTCTCTTGCAGAGCGCGCAGTCGCGAGTAGCCGCGTTGGAACGCAGATAACACCACAGATCTCCCGCATAAGGATTCCAACCTGAAACCCGACGCGCGGCCAGTCGCCCAAAGACCGCGCAGTAGATGCCGTCGCCGCGCTCGCCTGAGTCGTCGACCCGGTACACGGAGATGTTGCCGAAGACGCTCGTTTCGGACGCCACTGGATCTGGCGCTGGTCAAGCCTCAGCCATCACCTCAGCCCGTCGCATTTCCTCGCGAGCGCGCAGCATCTCGGCCTCGGATCGAGCACAGCTCTCATCCGCGAAGAGTCGATTCGTCTCGGCCTGCTGTATAGCAAGGCAGCCTCTGCGGCTGCTTGCACGTTCCGGCCCTCTGCTGCTTGCAACTCCTTGGCGGCCTGTGTCATAATCGCCCGTTGAGCTTCACCGGCCCCCCGGACGGCGCACCCCGCCTCTTCTGCGAGAAGATGTGCTCGACGCTCGGAGGCGACAGTACACTCGAGCCGATTGGCGAGCTCCCTCATTTCCTCTGTTGCGGCACATGCCTGTCGGGCCACCGCCGCCTGCTGGCGCTCTTCCAGAGGGCGCGCGGCATTCGCCGTGGCCTCCCAGCCCCGCCCCAATTGAAGGGCAGCAGCCGCTTGTTGTTAAAACCCGGATTGTCTCAGTTGCTCACGCCTTTCAGCAAGATTTCCCCCCCTAATCTCCACGATCTCAAACCTCTTCCTTCCCTTGGTTTCACGCCACTCATTTACCCGCACCCCGGCGCAGCCATACGACTGGGAACCGCACGCGCGGGGCACCGGAAATTTAGGTCGCAAAGACCGCAGATATCGGAGCACCCGAAACACACGGGCTTCTGACCATGACCCGATAGGCCGGAGCACCGCGATTCTCGCACCACAGCACACTTCGGTCCATAGTTGGCACACTTGGCGTTGATTCGCATGCTGAAGGTGCTCGGCCTTCCTGATAAGTTCGACGAATCAGATACCTCGGATCGCGGTCTGGGGGCCCCGGGCCCGCCTCTCTCGGTGCTTCTCTTGCGGGGGAGGCGGGCACGTAATTCAGGCGTTCAAATCGTCGAGGTCCGCCTCGGGGACCCAGGAGCATAGCTCCCGGGAGCCCCCCCCAGAACGTGGATTGGATGGCGCTCCGGGATATAGCCAAACCTACTTCTCTTCCCGAGAGGCGAGGTCATCGAAAGACTACTAGGCTCGCGTCTCTGTTCGCTCGTCATGCCTACGGGACCATCCACGAACTCCTCGTCTATGATATGTTCCAAGTGCTGTTCCAACGAACCACCAAATCTGATCGCGGCATCCTCGCCGCGCGCGGGTGGTACCTGCACACGGGGACGTCGTAGATCACCCAACGGAACAGGAGACACTCGGTCATAGACCTCTTATCCCACATCGCATGGCCCCTGGTCGCCATGGGAACAAATTAGCTCGGGCGTTGACCTGCGCGAGGCATTTTCCTCCGATGATATGGTCTCCACATCGTGGTCGTCATCCGAGGGGTGCTTGGAGACGTCCGCCTACATGTCGATAGGCCCACTTAATCATCTCCGTCTCGGCCGCGTCGAGTGGCGCCCTTGATCTTCGGAGCACCAGGACGAGGCCCATCATCGCAAGAGAGACTCCTGCATATTTGGGTGGAAAGACGTCGGCTTGATTCCCCGACATCGTCAGCAGAACCGTGTTCAGGAACACCCACAGTCATCCCATGGCGTGATGTTTTTTCGGGGCGTACATCGTCTTTGGATGAATAGAACGTCGTTCCCCCAACCGGTGTAACCACTTTCGTCGAAGACAGGGCGGGTAACCAGCTTTTCTGCCAATGCATTGTTGATATGGGCTCTTTCTTGACCATGCTGATAGGCAATGTTTGATCACGATCGTGTTGTAACCCTTCGTCCTCATCTTCTTCTCGTAGTAGTCTCTTACTCAGGTTTATCTTCAACGTAGGTGCCGTATCCCTCCATGCCATGGCGAAATGAACGTGGTAGGGTGTCCGTTAAGCTTTGAGCTAGCAACAAGATAAGAGGGGGCCGGCCGGCGGGGGGAGAGCGCCCGGGGGGCGCGCGATCCTTTCAATTTGAGCTACTAACCCACAACAGCTGCGTCGAAGCTGTGGGTCAGAAACCAGCCCCAGGAGATTACTAAATCAACTGAAAGCGTGATCCACCGCCGCTTTACTGTGGAAAATTCCCCCCCCTCTTCCTCCAGAACCTGGGGGTCCCCACCTTCGAAAATCCCCCACCTGCTGGACCCCCCCCCTTCCCCGGGCAAACCCCCCCCTAACCCCTCCCCCCCCTCATGCGGAAAACCGTGGGGGGGTCACTACCGGTTTGAGCCCACCCACCCCTTCCAGAAAACCGAGGGAGGGGTCACTACCGGTTCGAAGCCCCCCCCTCCAGAAAACCGGGGGGGTCACTAATTACCAATTCGAACCCCCCCCCTCCAGAAAACCGGGGGGGGAATCACAACTGGTTCGAACACACCCCTTTTCCCTCTTCGAGAAAACCAAAGGGGGGTCACTACCGGTTCGAACCCCCTCCCCTCCTCCAGAAAACTCGGGGCTACTGGTTCCAACCCCCCGCCCCCCCTCCAAAAAACCGGGGGGGATCACTACGGGTTCGAACCCCCCGCCACTCACCGCCGGCAAACGACTCCCGGGTCCCCACCACCGTCCGGGACACATCCCCCACTGCTGTCCCCAGCACCATTGTCCCCACACCAGTGTCCCCACACAAGTGTCCCCACTGTTCCCACCACCGTCCCCACTGTCCCCACCAGTGACCCCACCACTGTCGCACTGTCCCCACTGTCCCCACCAGTGTTCCCACCACGGTCCCACTCTCCCCACTGTCCCACTGTCCCCACTGTCCCCACTGTCCCACTGTCCCACTGTCCCCGCCGCTGTCCCACTGAGATGTCCCACTGTTCCCACCACTGTCCCCACTGTCCCCACCACTGTCCCCACTGTACCTCTGTCCCATTGTCCCACCACCGTCCTCGCCACCGCCCTCACCACTGTCCCCACCACCACTGTCCCCACCACTGTCCCACTGTCCCCACTGTCCCCACAACTCTCCGACTATCCCCCACACCACTGTCCTCACCACCACCGTCCCAATCACTGTCCCACAGTCCCCACCACTGTCCCACTGTCCCCACTGTTCCCACTATTGTCCTCGCTATCCCCACCAGTGCCCCCACCAATGTCTCACTGCCCCCACTCTCTTCACCGTAGTCCCACCACGGTCCCACTCTCCCCATTGTCCCCACTGTCCCCACCACTGTCCCACTGTCCCCACTGTTCCCACCACTGTCCCACTGTCCCCACTGTCCCCGCCGCTGTCCCACTGTGCGGTCCCACTGTCCCCACTGTCCCCACCACTGTCCCACTGTCCTCACCGTTTCCACCACTCTCCCCACTGTACTACTGTCCCACCACCGTCCTCACCACCGCCTTCACCACTGTCCCCACCACTACCGTCCCCACCACTGTCCCACAGTTCCCAGTGTCCCCACCACTGTCCCGATGTCCCCTCACCACTGACCCCACCACCACCGTCCCCACCACTGTCCGACTGTTCCCACCACTGTCCCACTGTCCCCGCACCACTATCCCCACCACCAGTCCCCACCACTTCCCCAGTATCCCCACCTCTGTCCAACTGTACCGAGGAGCGGGAATCCTTTGCCGGCGGCGAGGGGGGGGTTCGAACTGGTAGTCACCCCCCCTCATTTCATGATGGATTGGAGGGGGGGGGTTCGAACTGGTAGTGACGCCCCCGGTTTTCGAGAGGGACGGGGGGGGTAACGGGTTGGGAACCCCCAGTGACCCCCCCGGTTTTCCGCCAGCAGCGGCAGAACACGCTCTTTCCAAAATGAAGACCCAAAACCACAGGATGGTCGGGGAAAATCATGACGGGAGATTGTTCGCTGTTGTCGGCCTCCAAGGCCCCTACCGTGCCCCGGGACCGTCAAAGAGCTACCTGGGACGAAGAACTGGGACAGGCCGCGGGGGGGTCCACGTCATTGAAAAAAACGCGTCGTCGGGGGGATCGGTCTTCCGCCTCCTCCTCCTCCTCCTCCTCCTCCTCCTCCTCATCATCATCATCATCATCCTCCTCCTCCTCTCATGCGGAGAGCACGGGCTCAAGGATCTGGCAAAAGATTGAGCGTCAGAGCGTAGAACTCGGATTCACTCGCGCTTGGTCCATTCGCGTTCGCGCTTCTTTGACTCGCACTCGCACATGGACCGTGGGTGACAACTCTCTGTTGGTTGTACCTCGTGACGCGTCTCGTTATCGGGCCCCCGCCGGCGACGCGTTTGCGACTCGGGGTCGAACCATCCCCCCTGAGCGCACCACCCCTAACTAGGTGGCGACGTCCGAGCCCTACCCCCGCCAACCATCAATGCCCCTGAATCGATAGGCGGCAAGGGTAGGGTTCGGATTTCGCCACGCGCTCGACGAATTCCGAACCCTACCCGGCGAGGGTGGGGTATGGACTCCGCCGCCGAGCAGCGTCAGGCGGGACAAGCAGAGTCGACTGAAAGTCGAACAGATCCGTCAGGAAAGTCCCCGGGCATCTGACCCATCCGTCCACGTCGGCGGCGAAGCGCACACCTGGGCCATCCTGGGCCCAAGAGCCGTGCACGCGCCCCTCCGCTCGGGCAGGGAAGCACACATGCACAGCACGTGGGCCCAGGATGGGCCGGTGGCTCTGCACAGACTCTGTCGCCCGACGGTCCCCTCCCCCCAATCGAGGGACACGCCCCAGATGTACGTTCCTGGGGCGGGGTGGGCTATCGGGCCATCACCGGCGATGAGTGGGCCGTTGGGGGTCGACGCTGCATCCCCCCCGGGGGGGCCCAGCGCAAATCCAAGAAATCCGCCCGGAGCTCCCGAAGCTTGCGTCTATTCCGGTTTTTCGTCTTCGAATCCCCCCCAACGTTGCCCCAGACGATCGCCACCACATCCCTCGGGGACCCAGCGCGGATCAAAGAAATCCGCTCGGAGCTGCGAAAGCTGTGTATATGCAATATACTTGTCTTCGGATTCCCCCCCAAACGTTGCCACTGACACGATTGCCCCCCAATCAGTCCATGTCGGTGGCGAAGCGCACGCTGTTGTAGTGCTCCCCGTCGTGGTACGACACCTGGATGCACCGCGCCTCCAGCGGGGCGAACACCTGCGCCCGGCCCGGCAGGCAGGAGGGGGGTGAGGGGGCCCACCGCCACAGAGCCGAGCATCCAGTCCAGAAGTTGGGTGAGCCTTCATGGGAGCCTCTGTGGACGTCCGCGGCCCTATCATAAACGTGATGTCGACCGGAGGTTGTCCAGAATTCGACCACTCTCTGATCCTTTTCGTCCAGACTTCGTCCAGATTTCGTCCGGAAATCGTCCGAATGTCGATCAAATCGGACGAACGACAGACGGCATGCCGAAAACAGCAAGGAATTTCGGGACCCTTCGAGGCTCCCATGAAAGACCACACAACGGAAGGACGCGTGGGCAGAAGAGCGCGCGATTGGCAACCCTTCGGGAAACACGAAAAGAGATACGAGGCGAGGCGTCCGCAACCGCACTGACGCGCGGCCGCGCGCCTTGAAGGAGTCGGCGGTGGGGCCGTAGCTCCTCAGATGATGACGGAGACGCTCCAGAGTCAGTTGGGGTTTATCGGCGTGTGACTGCTCCCCCATCCTCAAGCCCCTCCCCTGGGAGCCTGGTATGGTCGATTTGGAAGGGGGGGTCCCCGGGGAGGGGTAGAACGCGCCACGGGGGGACACGGGGCCCCAAAACAGGCCAAGAGTGAGCCAAGAGGCCCTCCGGACGGTCCAAGAGGGCCACGAGCCGCCGAAAGATGGATCCAAAACGCCCACGCTGGCTACATCATCGCTCGAAGAGAGGAGCGGATCACGGGACGCCTCCCGACTGTGAGGCACGAATCAGCGGCGAGCGACGGGGGGAAATGAGAAGGAGAAGGTCTTCTCCCGCACCTTCTCACTTCCCCCCCTGGCTCCACGCCGAATAATATCGCGTGAAGAGGGCAGCGGATCACGGGGCGCCTCCCCGCCCGTGAGGCAGGAAAAAGAGAGACGGAGAGAGAACGAGAGAGAGAGAGAGATGTACATATGTGTATATATACACGTATGTGTGTGTGCCTGCATGCAGAGCGCCTCCGACCGCGCGGCACGAGCGCGGAAGGGGAGGGAGGAGCCGAGGCGCGGGGCGGAGGGGGGCAGGGGCCCCGAGGGGGGGGGGCACAAGCAGGACAAGCACGGGTGCCAGGAGCTCCAGCGCGTGCCGTGGGAGCGACGAAGAGGAGGAGGAGGAGGAGGACGACGACGAGGAGGAGGAGGAGGAGGAGGAGGGGAGTTAGGAGGGAGGAGGAGGAGGAGGAGTGGAGGAGGGAGGAGGAGGGATGGAGGGGGGAGGGGGAGGGGGAGGAGAGGAGGAGGAGGAGGAGGAGGAGGAGGAGGGAGGAGAGAGGAGGAGGAGGAGGAGGAGGAGGAGGAGGGAGGAGGAGGAGGAGGAGGAAGAGGAGGAGGAGGAGGAGGAGGAGGAGGAGGAGGAGGAGGAGGAGGAGAGGGAGGAGGAGGAGGAGGATGGAGGATGGAGATGGAGGAGGAGGAGGAGGAGGACGAGGACGAGGAGGAGGAGGAGGTGGAGGAGGTGGAGGGGGGGGGAGGAGTAGGGGGAGGGAAGCCCCCTCGCAGAGCCGAGCAACCTCGCTGCCACCCACCGCAGGGTCTTGCGCGAGATGGCACAGCGACCTTGCGCTGTGGCTTACGCGGTCCGCCAGCACGGCATGCTGTATCAGAGACGATGGTGGCGCCTACGCGCGACCTTACGCAGGCAGCGTACGCACGGATGTCGGCACAGACGACCTCGTGTTTTTGTCGCCCGTAAGTCCTTAAGTTTGGCTTTCCCCCTCCGTTTCCAATGCTTCCTTCTAGTTCTTGGGAAAATCGACATTTGTTTCTGCGTCGTGCTTGTGATTTCGTCGCTGGGGCGGGGGGGGCGGGGCGCGACGGCGTCGGCGCAGAGCAGGACACGAGGCGGGGCTGCCATGGGTGCTCCTGCTTGGAGGACTCGTGTCCACATGGATCCATCCTGGGGCAGCCTTGGCGCTTCTTGGAGGCATGTCGGAGACTATCTTGAGCCATCTTCCGGGGAAGGGAGTTTTTGAACATAACCTTTCAGATCCGAGCAAATGTTTTGGATTGGCGCTGGACCCCCCTCCCCAGCGCGCGGAGCGCGCCAGGGGCGGCGCCAGAGGCGCCGCCAGGGGGCTGCAGCGCCGATCCGAGAAATCCGCGCAGGCTTCCGAAAGTGTATGTTTGTGCCATCTCTTGTTCCCCCAATCTGGCGATGTCTTGTGTGATCTTGGAGGCCATCTTTGTGCATATGGGGCCCTCTTGAGGCCATCTTGGGCCATCTTGGACGCCCCAACCCCTCGCGACTAGGCCCGTCCAGACCTGTGAAGAGGGGGCAGGGGAGAGGTAGACCTCCCGGAAAATGCCACCAGTACCAAATGAAGGGGGGACCTCCACTGAGAGAAATAGATGTTGGGGCTGGTGGATATCGTTCGGCCGCCTAGGAAGTTTGAATATTACCACCATCATCGAGTTCAGGATCATCTTCCCTAGGTGGGAGCAGCCGCCGATATTGTATTGGTGCCAACCTCTGGCTTTCGACCGGGCCGAAGCCAGGACATCCGAACCGCCGATATTGATGTTGGTGCCAAGTTCCAGGCCTCCGACCTGGCCCAAGCCCAGACGTCAGAAGCATCTGCCTTGCGTCAATCCTAGCTGAAGGGGCCCTGGAACACACAAATAAATACACACAAATAACAGGGTTCCCCATATTTTCAAATATTTTCTGGGTTTCTGTCTTCCCCCCCGCTTCCCATACTTTCCCGTATTTTCTGGGGGATCGACGCTTATTTGTGTCTGTGTGTGTTTCCCTCCTGACTACGTGTTGGCGCCAACTGCCAGGCCTCCGACCTGGCCCGAGCCCAGACGCCAGAAGCACCTGCCTTGCGTCCAGCCCAGCGCTTCTCCCTCGGGCTCGGCATCCCGGGTGTCGGCGGCGGGCCCCCGCGCCATCGGAACCTGGGCCAGGTGTGACGCACTGGCGCCGCGGAAGGGGCCAGGACACCTCAAAGGGGCCCAAGGACACACGAAGAAATACATACAAATAACGAGATTCCTCATAGTTCCCCGTATGTTCTGGGTTTTTGTCTTCCCCCCCGCTTCCCATATTTCCCAACATTTTCTGGATAATCGACGATGAATTGTGTCTGTGCGTTTCTTTCCCTCCTGAGACACCTCTGGCGGCATTGAAAAAATGACGCCTGCAGATGTCCGGGAGATTTCTCCACCTTTTCGCGCCATCCTGTCTCACATAAAAAAACCGCAGCACGACGAGACTCGTAGACTACTGTGGACTCAGTGACAATGTGAACGGCCGCAGCTGGGACGGGGCGGTGCGAGCAAAAAACTAGCACCAAGACACAGAAGAGGAAGGAGGAGACAGAGAGGTAGGAGACAAAAAGGTAAAGGCGCTTCGGGGGCAACTCTAAGTCGAAACCTAACCTCGCGAGGCCCCTGAGGGTGTGTAACTGCATGCAGGGCCGAGCGTCTCTCTGGACACCCCTGGCCTGCCTGGAGCGCCCCCCTGGCTCCGGGGCGAAGGGGCCCCTCGCAGGGGGCTAGACCTCCTTAAAACGCCAACAATGCAGGGGGGCGGGGGGCTGGGGCCGTTGAAGGGCCCGAAGAGGAGGAGGAGGAGGAGGACGACGAGGAGGAGGAGGACGAGGAGGAGGCGGAGGAAGAGGAGGAGGGAAGAGAAGGGAAGAGGAGGAGGAGGAGGAGGCGGAGGAGGTGGATCCTGGGGTTTCGTTTTGACATCCTGGGGAAGCCCCAGGGGAAGGGCGCCTGGCGGCAGCGCCCAGGAACGTGAGGAAATGGCATGGTTTCACGGTTGGGGCTCCGACGCTGTTGGAGCAGCCGAACGGCCGCGATGTTCGGCAGGTGACGTGTCCCGAACGGACAACACACACACACACACACACACGCACACACACACACACACACACACACACACACACACACCCATACCTACAGAAGGGACGGAGCGAGCCATGGGTGCGTGTTGTCGGAAGGGCCCCCGCTCGACTGGGAGCCTCCCCCAGGGTCCGGCAACCCGCCCGCACCCATACCTATAGCCAGTCATCCTCCCTCCGACCTCCACTAAGGGTGCGGGTGTGCCATGTTCACTCGTCAACTTGTGCCTCTTTCTCGGGCTGCCCCCTCTGCTTGCCGCGCTGCGATCGATAGTTTCACCTGGATGCAAGGTCCACCTCAGACGGACAACAGCTGCCGCGCATCTACACATTTTGCGTCGGCGGCTATGCAGGAGTGACTGCACTGGCGGACGAGCCATAACAACGGGGATACCGTTGAAGCGAATTGTGCCACAATGTACGAAACTGGGATGAGGCAGGGAGGGCGGCCGAAGGAGGAGAGAGGGAACGAGGGCCGCTCAGGGGGACGGGTCACACCCGGAGCGAGTGGCGCAGCCGGCCCCGCCGGCGGGGAAGGCGACGGCTGCTGCGCCGGGGCCTGGCAGCGGCGGGCGGGGCGCAGTACGGGTACTGGGAATGCCAGTTGGTTCAGGGTGCGATGCGAGGTCCACCTCAGACGAACAGCAGCTGCCGCGTCTACACACACACACACAAACAAACAAACACATCCACACACACACACACTCTCGTACCAGCCCGCTATTTGGAGGCTACGATTGCACGCACAAACACACACACACACACACACACACACACGCACGCACGCACGCACGCACGCACGCACGCACGCACACACCACCCTCAAGCGGGCCACACGCTACAACGGGCAGGACGTTCAGGAGGTCAGCGTGGCCAGAGAAAACGCGGGCGGCCCAGCGGACCAGTACGATGGTGAAGACTAGCCTCGAAGTCGAATTCTGTCAAGGCCCGTCTCCTGATCGGGGAGCAAACTGGCCTATTGATCACGTGCAACATGATTCGCACGGAGGCCATAGAGACACTCGTCCACACAACCATATGTACCTAAGCCTCTGCGCGCACACGTCTGCTGGAGTGACCTGACACTGCCCAAACAGCGGCGTATAAAAGCCGTTTTACTCGTCGATTGGACGGCGGCTTACTCCAGCGAGCGGGGGCGCCATCTCGTAGGCAGGCATGCCGTGCTGGTGCACAATGGCATTGACCTCGTGCCTCCTGCAGAGGGCCATGAGCTCCTGGGCAGCGACCCCGCACCTCCTCCCTAGCTCCCCCGCCGACTCAGCCAAACCTGCTTTCCCGTCTCGAATATCCTGTCACCCTCCCCCCCGCCGTGACTCTGCTGAACTACACTGAGGCTCGCGGAAAACCTCATGCAGGAAAGGCGTGCTAGTCCGGATCTGAAATCAGGCGCCCCCCCCTCAAAACAGGAGAGGTATCAAGTCGGCCAGTCGTACATCCCCCCCTACACGTTGCCCTTGAAGTCTACGGTGCTGGCCGCGGCTCTCGTCTCAGGGCCTGGGAAGATTTCGACGAACAGGACTGGAAGCAACCCGCAGAGCCAGGGGCAGAGACCGAGGAGAGCCTCGGCGGCGCGCCCAAGGGAAGCAGGCGTAAGCCTCCTCCGAAGCCCCGCCGCTCTCTGAGGGGGCCTGCACCCTCTCACCTCCCCCCTCGGCGCACCGCCGAAGCCGAGAGCAGGTCTGGCAGCCCTGCCGCCCCGTCTGTGCCCAAGTGCGCCTCAGGTCGGATCTGGCGTGATCCTCACAGCCGCATCCCCGACGAAGTCAGCGACCCTGCTACCCCCCAAAACGGAAGAGGATAAGGGATGATCGAGGAGCAGAAGAGAACGACGAGGACGACGACGAAGGGAGCAGATTAGCAGCAGGAGAACCAGGAGGAGGGAGGAGGAGAGAGGAGGATCGAGAACGGGCCTCCATGGGAGTTCATCTGCTCCTGCTTGCAAGAGGAGGGAGGTTCACTGCCCATAGAGGGAGCGGACGGAGAGTGAGGAGAGACAGCGAATGGAGGGCGCCTATCCGGATGAGAACCCTTATTCCCTGGCAAGGGTGACGAACCTTACCACCGCCTACTGACAAAGCGTCCCCAACTAATCCAATTAAACGTCATCCAAGTCGACCTCCGACCCGCGGTCCGCTCGCCCGGCTTTGGCCTCGGCGCGCGCTCCGCCAGGGCCCTTTTGCCGAAGGCCTCCGCCTCCTCCCCGCAGGAGAGACCAGAAGCTATCTAAAGGACCTTGCCCCGCCCGAGCAAGGGAGCGTCGGGCTGACTAGAGAACAGCAAATGCCTGTCTGTCTGGCTGGGGCGCTGGAGCAGGCCCTCTGTTGCCACTGCCATTCCAAATTCCCTGGCAAAGCGGGCACAGGCGACCTCCGAGGGGACCGACAAGGCCCCAGCTCCACCAAGAGATACCTAAGATGGCTGTGGCCCCGCAAAATTTGCGCACCGTGTACACTGAGCCTCCTTTGAATCCCCGTGGGCGTTTGCAAATCCCTGGGAGCCCCGCTACATGGGGGCGGCGACGTACTCCCAACACCTGTGGCAAAAGATCAAAGGTTCGTCGGGGGAGGCGGGGGGAGGAGGGAGGCGGGGGGGGAAGAGGGGAGGGATGAGGAGGAGGAGGAGGAGGAAGAAGAAGAACAGGACGAACGATCTCCAAAAGGCACCTTGTGACTGCAACGGAGCTTTCCGCTCTACACGACAATTTTGCGCTTGGCGAAAGAACGCCCACCGAACCGATGGAAACCACACCAGGCCGACCGGAAAATGTGCAGGTTGGAACGGCCCCACGCGCTGCCACTCCTCATCCTCCTCGCCCATCATGCTCCTCCCCCTTGCCTCGTCATCCTCCTGATTGCTGCTGCTTCTCCTCCTCCAACCTCCTCCTGGTCCTCCTCCTCCTCCTCTCTCCTCCTCCTCCTCCTCCTCTCCTCATCATCCACCTCCCATATTATTATTCTGATTAGTCTTCTTCGCAGTATCAGTATCATCATTATCAGTATCATCATTATTAGTAGTATTATTAGTCGTAATTCACTGATTCAATCAATATTATTGTTCAGATTAATTATTAAATCGTATTAATTTGGATAGATTAGTATGCGTTATGCTTTCTTCTCCCTTCCTTCGTATTACATTATCAGTCAGTATTATTATTACTTCGCTATTCATTTATCATTGGTAACTTATTAGTATTAACTATTATTATTCACATTACGCATAAGTATTACTATTAAGTTTTAATTATTTTTTATACAAAAAAAAGATTATCAGTATTATTATTAGTACTAGTATTAGTATTAGTATTAGTATTAGTATTAGTATTAGTATTAGTATTAGTATTAGTATTAGTATTAATGTTATTATTATTCGTGGTAGTACAAGTATTATTAATACTATTAGTATTCGTCGTGTTCGTCTTCTTCTGATTCTGCTAAATTACAATTATTATCAATATTAGTTGTCTTGTTATTATTACTCTTATTAATCTTCTAAGTATTCGTCTTATTATTCTCCTTGTTATTGGTATATTATTCGTCTGCTTCTTATAACTATCAATATCATTATCATTGTTAGTCTTATTATTGGTATTCTGATGATTATTATTCTTTGTCGCACTAGTATTATTAGTTTTGTTATTATGTGTTTCTTATGTTTCGTATTATTACTATTTGTTCGTAGTGGTCGTCTTATTATTCGTCTTCCTATTCTTATTATTGTCATTCTTATTCGTATTATTAGTATTATTCACATTATTATTATGTTGTGTTTCGCCTTCTTATGAATATTATTTATATTATTATTCCGAATAATATTAGTATTGTTTTTATTGTTATTATTATTCGTAATCCTCCTCCTCCTCCTCCACTTCCATTTCCTCCTCCTCCTCCTCCTCCTCCACTTCCTCCTCTTCATCCTCCTCCTCCAGCAGAAAGAAAGGGAGGGGACTGAGGCGGGCCAGCAAGCAGCAGCAGGGGAGGAGGCAGTCCTAACCAGGGGCCAGACAGGACCGACGTGGGGGAGAGGATAAAGGAGGGACGAGAGAGCAGGAGGGAACCTGGAGGCGGGGGAGGCGGGCGCGCGGCGGGGAGGCGCGCGCCACCAACCCCCCCACCTTAGGCGCGCGGGCGCCCGCTGGAAGCATGGAAAACGAGGAGGAGGAGAGGAGAAGAAACGAGCCTAGCGCACAGGTTGGCGGGGAGAGGCAAGCGGCAAGCACAAGGAAGCGCCACAGGCAGGCGAGGGCGGCAGGCACGTCAGGAAGGGGGAGAAACACATGGGACAGGCGGAGACGGGGGAAAGTGGTGGGCGTCGAAGTCCGGGGGGGTCGGCGGTCATCGTCGCGGGCCCGCTGCGTGTCTGCCAGCATGGTGTCTGCTGCGTTGGTGCTGTCGCAATGGTGCTGTCTGCTGCGTTGGTGCCGCGGGTGACGTCTGCTGCTCCGCAGTAGAACTGTCTCCTGCGTTGGTGATGCGGCGCTGGCGACCCCACCAACGTCGACCCTGCGTATGGTTGTAAGCCACGCTTCACGCGCCTATGGCCGCCAGCAGCGCTTCGGCGTTGCCCATCTGCACCAGGCAGCTGAGCTGCTGCCAAGCATACCGCAACACATCAACGCGGCCGGCAACTTCCAGGTCGTGTGCCGGGGAGCGCACGTAGGCGACCGCCGCGTCACCGGGGCGGCCGCCTGTTTCGAAGACGACGGGGACGACTTTGCCCCCTTGACGTCGGTACCTCTGGCGTTTGTCGTCTTCGCGGACCTTGGCGGCGAGGGCATCCCGACCCGAGCGAATCCCCTTGCGCGACTGGTCGTCGCTGCGAACGCAAGCGATGCTCGTATCGAGATACATCACGTTGCCCGTGACCGCGTCGCGCGTTGCGACGTCCAGTTTGGCCTTCTCCAACTCCCCCGTTCTCGGGCGGATGCGGCCCCAATCCGGGACCAACTGTTCCGCGGTCGATGCAGAACCTGTGATATTTTGGTGGTGCGCCGCGCAGAATTCCCGCATGGCGTTGCGCATCCCTGTCCGAAGGGGCCGCAAGGGCATTTCAAGGCATGCCTCCCTCGCCTGTCCAGCAGCGATCCGCAGACGGTGCCGACCTGTTTGCGGAGCCGGCACTGCACTCTAAGGCCACCAGCGGTCGCAGCGCAGGCGGTCCGCCAACGCTATCTTGAGAAGCCCGTTGGGGACCTTCGCGGGCGCCCCCTTTTCTCGGCCGACGGAGATTTCGAGCCACCCCCCTGCCTCAGACCTTCCAGCTGAGCGCAAATCAACAAGGCTTTCTTCCCCAAACGCCCGTAGCACTTCGTCGCGCGCCCACCTCCGCAGCAGCCGTCGCCCAGTCCAGTACCCCTGCCGCCCAGTGAAGGGCTCGTCCAAACAGCTGGGCCCGTCCAGTGCGTCTATCGCGCCGTTGCCCTGCGCTCGCAGCTTCGCCTCCGCACCGCCCGCTGGCGTCGGCCAACGCCAGGCACAGGGTCGTAAAGCTCTGCCGCGAGGCAACGTCCAAGCATGTCCGCAGACTTTTCAAGGTCAGCGTCAAGCTGCCCAAGTAAGCTGCCGCGGCCGTCTCCGCTGCGGAGGTCAGCCCCGGTCCCCCGCGCGCGAGTCGGAGGAAGCACTGCGCTTGTTGGTCTGACCGCAGCGTGCACCCCGGTAAGGCCTTCCACCCCTCTGACAACCTCCTCCTCCTCCTCCTCCTCCTCCTCCTCCTCCTCCTCCTCGTATTATTATTATTATTAGTATTATTATTATTATTATTAGTATTATTATTATTAATAGTGTTACTACTAAAAATAATAATAGCAAAATATGATCATTATTGTTGTGATCAGTATTATTATGATCAATACTATTATGAACGCCATTATCATTACTATGAGGATTATTAGTATCACTAGTACTAGCATTGGTACCATTATTACGATTACTAGTATTAGTAATAGTATTAGCATTACCATTAGTATTCGTGATATTATTATTGGTAGTTAATACTAGTAGTAGTACTACTATTACTACTATTATGATTAGTTGCATTATTACTACTACGAATATCCTTCTTACTCGTAGTAGTAGTAGTAGTAGTAGTAGTAGTAGTAGTAGTAGTATAACTAAGATCAGTATACTTAGTATGTGTAGTATTGTTTGTCTCCTGTTCTTCGTATTATCAGGATTCCGAATGTAATTATTATGATGGTTCTTATTTCAGAATATAT